TAAATGAATTCTATTTCTATTGATTATGTTACCTGACTTTGTTAGTAAATTATATGACCTTGGTTTATTTGCATGTTCTATTATTTCTACTTGTCTATCAAAAGTTCCTGTTTTATGGTTTTTTAATAAAACTTTATCTCCTATTTTAAATTCTTTTAAAGGTTTAACATGTTTATTGTAATAAAGTTTCTGTTTATCTTGTCTTTTTATTAATTGAGACCGTATTTGTTTATTGTTTTGGTTATTATTGTTTGTAAGATTAATTAATATGCCCCTAACTTTGTGACCCATTAGCATTTCATTTGGAGATTTTATATACTGTGATATTGGGTTGTTTCTCAATTCTAATAATGCTAATTAAGGATCTTTCTTATCATCAACACATTTTTTTAACATTTGTTTTATAGTTTGTATATGCCTCTCCACCATGCCATTGCTTCTTGGGTAGTATGGTGAGGAAAAATTGTGTTTGAAACCCCATTTCAATGAAAATTCTTTAAACTTCTGCGAAGCAAATTGAGGACCTCCATCACTCTGTATTTCTAATGGAATACCAAATTTTGAGAAACATTGCTTTAGTCCTTTTATAACTTCTTCTGCTGTTAAACTTTGTAAATTTATTACCTCTATGTATTAAGAAAAGTAATCTACAATTAATAAGTAATCGTTTGAATATAAATGAAATATGTCTACTCCTAATTTTTGCCATGCTTTGATAGGAACTTTATGTTGGATAAGAGGTTCTTTTTGATTTTCTGGGCTATATTTTATGCAAGAATTACAATTTTTTATGAAGTTATCTATGTCTTTCGACATTCCTATCCAAAACAATGATTCCCGAGCTCTAATTTTTGTTTTTTCTCTACCTATGTGATTATAATGTAGTTTTTGTAACATATCTTGCTGTAAAGATTTTGGCACTACTAAACAATTGTTTTTAAAAAGTAATCCATCCATTACGTGTAAATCTGTATGGAATGTATGGTATGGTTTCAGTATTTTAGGCAGGGTTTTATTTGTTATTGGCCAACCTTCTCTTATATACTTTTTTAATAGTTTTAGTTCTTCATCATTGTGGGTTTCTTTTTTAAACTCTTCATATCTTTTTAAGCTCATTTTTTCTTTTAGGTCTATTAAAAGTATACTGCAATCTAAATCATAATCATCACTAACATCCGTTTTCAAATAATTTCTTGATAAGTAATCAGCTAGAATCAAACTTTTACCTGGTTTGTAAGATAATGTAATGTCATAATGTTGTAGTCTTAATCTCATTTTCTGAAGTTTAATTGGTATCTCAGCTAATGATTTTTTCATTATTGGTATAAGAGGTTTGTGATCAGATTCTACATCGAAATTTTTACCCATTATATAAAAATGAAATTTTTCACAAGCATAAACTATGGCATACATTTCCTTTTCGATCTGTGCCCATGCTTTTTGAGTATCAGTGAATGCTTTAGATGCATAAGCTATTGGGTATCCATCTTGTAGAAGAACTGCACCTACTCCATTACTACTCGCATCCACACTTAAAAGACAACGTGAGTTAGGATTATAATATTTTAATATAGGAGATGAAGTCAAATATTTTTTGATTTGTGAAAAACTATTTTCTTGATCTTGACCCCATTCCCACTTATTTTCTTTTTTTAACAATGTTCTTAATGGTGCTGTTAAATCAGAGATATTCGGAATAAATTTAGAAACATATGTAATGATACCCAATAACTTTTGTATCCCCGTGATATCCTTTGGTTTTTCCATTTTAATTATGCTTTCAATTTTATCATTATCTATTGAAATACCTTTGTCAGTGAAAAGGTGCCCTAGGAATTTTAATTTATTTGTGCCTATTATACACTTTTCAGAATTAAAAGTTATATTATGTTCAGATGCCTTTTTTAATACCTTTTGCAATATTTCATCGTGAATGGTTTGATTTCCCCCCCACAAGATCAAATCGTCTACAAAGATTTCTACGTTAGGTATGTCTTCAAACAAACGAGAAAACTGTTTATGGTATACTTCTGATGCTACCTTAACACCATAAGGCATTCTTAAAAAACAATATCTGCCAAACGGAGTTTGAAATGTTGTGAGCTTTGAGCTGGTATCACTTAATTTTATCTGGTAAAACGCTTTGCTACAGTCTAATTTACTAAACACTTTTGCATTAGCCATTTTTGCAGATATCTCTTCAAATGTGGGAAGCTTAAAATGTTCTCTTAACAGGCAAGTATTTAGGTATTGAGGATCTAGACATATACGTAAAGAATTATTTGGTTTTCTTACAATTACTACAGTATTCACAAAATCTGTTGGTTCTTCTATTTTCCTTATGATTTTATTGGACTCCATTTCTTTCAATTCCTTTTTGTAATCATTTAATAGTTTCATGGGCACAGGTCGACAAGGAATAACTTTACCCATGTAATTTAGTATCAATTTAAAATCATATACATAGTCCTTTATTTCACCTATTCCTGAAAATAATGTTGGATATTGATTTATAATATCTTCTTTTTGAACTTGACACATGGTAATAATTAAACTAAGTTTTTTAATTGTAGGTAAGCCTAGTAAAGGTGCAGAGTCACAATCAACTACATGAAATTTTAATAATTGTTTTTTACCTTTTATCGAACACAATAAATTTATTGTTCCCAGTAAATTAATTACAGAGTTGTTATAGTTTCTCAATATAGCATTTGAATAATTTAATTGTTCTTTAATTTTTTATCTGATTCAAAAGTTTCTTACTTATTACATTGCATCCTGCACCAGTGTCAAGTTTGAACAACAGTTTTTTACCTAATTCAATAAAAGTTACCTGTACCGTCCAGTCCTGAGTATTGATGCTACCCAGTAAGATTTCATGTTTCTCTTCATCTTTTTGGATTTCTTTAATTTTATGAGCATTCCATTGTTTACTTCTGCAAACACTTGCAAAATGGTTTGATTTCTTACAAAAGCTACACATTTTTCCATATGCTGGACATTGACGATGAGAGTGTTCGTATCCACAGCTTCTACACTTAAACATTTTTGGTTGTTGGTTGGTATTAAATTGCTTTTTGTTTATTTTATCTATTTTTTGTGTATCTTCCTCTTGTAATTGGTGCAAATAACCTGTAGCAATTTCTGTTGTTTTGCACATTTCTATGCATCTCTCCAATGTGAGGTCTGGTTCCCGCAGCAGTCTTTCTCTCAGTTTGGGGTCTATTATACCATTTATTAACTTATCCCTTATTAGGCCGTCCCGTAGATCGCCAAAGTTACAGGTTAAAGCCAGTTTTTTAATTTCTGACAGGTAATAAATGAAATGTTCTCCCTGTTTTTGATTACGAGCGAAGAATATGTGACGATTAATAGTTTCATTAGTTTTAGGAAGACAATATTCTTTCAGGGCTGTGAGAACTTTCTCATAATCACTTTTTTCTGGTTCTGTCAGGTTAAAAGTTTCAAATTTATCCAAACCCTCTTCACCTAGTAGGTGCAATAGTATTGCCGCTTTTGTGTCTGAGGGTTTTTTGTGACATTCATTTGCACACATGTATAATTCTACTTGTCGTAACCATGTTTTAAAATTTTTTGCAAGGTCCCCTTCAAATGATAATGGCGGAAGTTGCGTTAAGGCAAGACTAGGTACTGTGTCTGCCCTTATACTGACTGACCTGTTTGTTGTTGGAGCGAGTCCCTGGTTCTGATTATTATTCGACTGCGCCATATCATATTATGTTAAACTTTATAAATTAAACAATTTATTTTTAGAGCATCACGTCTTTTATTTCACACTTATTACCATAGATTAACTCACATAGATTATATAACTATAATATAGACACAGATTATATTCAATAATGTCACAATTGCTGTAGAAATTTAATTTTAAAAAATATTTTTAGTCTATATTTTTTAAACACTAAAAACGCTGTTCGCCACATCCGCCATGATTGTGACGTCTCATATGGTAAACAACTAAATGTCATTCGCGTGTTATTGTGGGTGGATTCTTTCGTCTGACTAAATTTATCATAAAAACACTTTTAACTTTAGAAAAATTTCCGATTACTGATTTTTTTGAAAAAACTAATTATGGATGCCGGCTTTGTGAAAACAGAAAGCACAAATCTGCCAAGAATTGACGCATTCATGGTTGGTGAATTTATTTCACTAAACCCCGATTTCTGCTCTGCGGAGCAGAGAAATGACAAGGCATCTATGTAAGTACAGTGTATTTAGTATTACAATGTAGTAATAAACATAAAACTGATACAACATATGAATAAGTGTAATAAAGTTGCGTAGGTTAATTTCCTTCGACACTTTTAATTCACAACTTTCCTGGAATCTTCAAGGATGTGTTTTTATATTCTCGTACAATACAATTATGATAATTACTTTATTTTTCGGGGTATTTATTAGAAATCATCTTTTGTTTATTATAAAGTCAGTTATTTTCTTATGAGTTTTTGTTTATTTACCTTACTCTATGTTTAAATCTAAAGAAAATATAACTAGAAAAAATTCCACGCGGACCAGGCAGCAGACGGGACCTGGTCCGCGTGGAATTTTTTCTAGTTATATTTTCTTTAGATTTAAACATCAAGCAGTTACATGCTTTAAAAATAATAAAAATTATAACTTACTCTATGTGTTTACTGCGGTTAACGTCATAGCATAGACAATCTATAGACTAAAATGGCCGATAGCGTTTTTGCATGTCCATGAAAAATCTATTTTAAAATTAAAGATTTGTAGCTTTTTAGGTCTCAAAAAAATACAATACATTTTTTTCGGTCTAATAGAGCATTTATTAACCATTTAAAACCTTTTTCCAAAAAGGGTCAACTAGCCTATTGCCAATTGATGGTTAATTTATATCAATTACGCAAAGTAGCAACTACGAATAGCCAAGTGAAGTGCCGGTATAAAATTTTATGTCTATTACATAGACCTATTTTTTCTATGGTTTACTTGACAGCTGTCAGTGACAGTTATTTCAATGTGTTCAATCTGCTTTGACGTTTCTAAATGGTGGTTCCTGATTTTTAGTTCTAAAACTTTAGTCCGTGCAAATAATTTCTAGAAAATCGTGTCGGTGTAGTTTATAATACGTTTGTGTCTAATAATTAATAAAATAAATGCCATTCGACTTTCCAAGTGTAGCCTTGTATTACCATTGTTTATTTCTAGGTACATTTCGTTGTACTCGTAATGTGGTAAATGAACAATTGTTTTAAAGTATTGTTATTAATTAATTCAAGAAACCCTGCTGCTAAGAACATTTGCAAACCAAATTTATTGTATTTGCAAAATCGAATAGCTAGAATGGGATTACTGACAGAAGGAAGTCCTTTATCATGGGAAGAAACCAAGGCTTTGGCAGAACATGTTCGTCAACATGGAATTGAGCAATTTATAAATCTTTACAGTAAGCTGCGTGATCGCACTGGAGATGTTCTTAAGTGGGGTGATGAAGTGAGCCAATTTACTTGATATATATTATGAAGTGAAACTTTTTATTAATCTAGTATCTTATTAAATTAATGATACATTAAGTTAATAATAACGGACTTGTTACTTTAAAGTCTTTATTGTAATAATTCTCAATATGTATAAAGAAACTTGAATATGGTTGTGAAAAGAAGGAAACATTTGTATTATTATTTTATATGTTATCATATTATTGATGTAATAGGAATGCTCTAAAACTGCTTGTAGGTGGAATACATAATTGTCAAATTTGATGATGAAAACAAAAGGGCTACTGTCAGTCTACGAGCTGATGAAATTCTTCCAAAACTTCAAGAGCCAGAGCAAAACAACCCTCAAAGTAAGCTTTATTTAATTTATGTTTAACACAAAGTATACATCATAATCTATATTTATTCCTAGCACAATTATTATAATTGAGAATGTTTAATATAATCTAACATAATGTTTTGCTTTTTAACACTATTTATTTTTAATATTATGTTGCTGCTTCCATTTTGTATAGTTATTGGACTTGAGATTTGACCAGTCTGAGCATGACTTGCGTTATTTGGCTACTTTTAATTTTGTTTTGTAGCTTAATTTTGTTTTGTTCTTATATCAAGGTCTCTCACAAACTACTTTACACCTCAATACAAACGCAATCAATCTTACAAATTCAATCTGGTATGATTTACATAAATATGCATTGTGAAAAAAATATATGTCATTCAGGGGTCAATTTAAAAAAGAAAACAATCTGAATTTAAGTTAGCTTTGTTTATGTTAAATTAAATAAATATTTGAGAAGAATTGAATAGGACTAGCAAGATAGGATATCTTGGTGATGTCCTATCATGTTAATTTTGACTGTTACACAATATTATGAAACTAAAAATGCCTTTCTTATGTAGTTTTTATCATAATATCTCATCATCTTGTTCTATGGAATTTAATGAAATTTTGTGATAACTTGATTTGTGGCTGACTTACAACTGATTAATAGATTATTTTTAAAATGTTTAAACTGTATATTACCAAGAAGCAAACATAAAAATATTTTTATGGTGTCACTTTAACTAAAACCAGTTTGTTTATTTTATTTAAAGACAAAATAATCTCTACATTGGTGTCAATTCTGACATGATTCTCTAAACCTAAACTTAAATTTGACAACAGTGTATCCTTGTTATTCTCTATACAGCATGAAAAGGAGAGACTGATGTTAAATTTAGATTTAAGTTTAGAGAATCACGCCAGAATTGGCATCATTGCCATGGATTTCCTTATTTTTAGTACTTCTTCTGACTAAGATTACTAATATTCCTACACAATTGATGTGTGGTGTAATAGATAATGTAGAAATATTTTAAATATACAGACTACTAATTTGACAAGAGTTTTTTTTAATGATAGAAGATTTTTTTCAACGGACAACCTCCTTCTGCATACTCCCGTCCACTCTTCTGGCTTCGTCTCATATTCTTTCACCATCACGGCTGTACGACTCTGGAATGACTTGCCCCCTAATATACGTAAAGCTCCTAACAAATTTGTATTTAAGGGATTGGTTCGTGAGCATTATCTTAATATAATTAATCTGCGTTCTCATACTTGACTGGCATAATTATGTGTATGTATGTATTGTAGATATAGCATATATATTTACATGTATGTAGTGTATATATATTTTAATATTTGTGTATTCTATTGATATATATATTACCTACCTGGTTTATATAGCCATGTCCATATTGCACCCCCGTATTAGTTCTCACGCTTTTACTGGTCGACTGGTAAAGAATGCCTTATGGCATTATGTCCGCCAATTGCTGTTTGTTTTGCAATAAAGTATAAATAAATAAATAAATAAATAGAACTATTAGCAAACAGCTTTAAATATTTAAGTTCCTGTAACCAAAAGCAACATCTACATTTAAACTGTAAATTTAAGGGATACATGCAACAAATTTCTATGAATGTATGTACATATTTAATATAATGAAGTTAATTTATCTACACAGGTGTTGTTACTTTAATATTGATTTCAATGACATTCTGCATATTCTACAACTTTACTTCCTTCATCATATGAATGAACAATCTATTTTATTAACTGTCAAAATCTGTATCAATAGATTCAATAGATAATAATCAGAAAAAAAAAACAATAGTCAAATAACTCATCATTAATGTATATAATATGTGGCAAGAGGAAAATGCAAATATTTTTTGTATACCTCAATATGATGTTGTAGAATAAGTAAATATTTTCATGGTTATATTGGTAGAGTGATCTCTCTACCATTCAGTGTTGGGAACAGAGAAGCGCATCCCAAACCATATATAATGAGTGACAGTGAATAGTGCCTGTCAAGAGTGTCACCAAGGGGCAAAGGGGGGCCAGCTTCCTCCCCCTAGAAATATGAAACTGAAACTAGCAGCCGACATTCTCTTGAGACAAAATATTTTTTTTTTCAACTAAACTATTAGAGTATCTTGGCTGAAATTACATCCACTATTTCTTCACCCTAAAAAGAAGTTCTGGGGAAAATTTCAGCAATTTCGTATGTGTAGGAGATGAGATACAGCTTTTTTGAAAAATAAAAATCTTTCTCCTGAGAGAAAATATTTTTTTACAACTAAACTATTATAGTATCTTAGCTGAAATTACTTCCACTATTTCTTCACCCTAAAAAGAAGTTTTGAGGAAAATTTCAGCAAGTTCGTATGTTTAGGAGATGAGATACAGCTTTTTAAACAAAAAAAAAAATATTCTCCTGAGAAATTTTTTTTTTACAACTAAACTATTAGAGTATCTTGGCTGAAATTACTTCCACTATTTCTTCACCCTAAAAAGAAGTTTTGAGGAAAATTTCAGCAAGTTCGTATGTCTCGGAGATGAGATACAGCTTTTTAAACAAAAAAAAATCTTTCTCCTGAGAGAAAATATTGTTTTAGAACTAAACTATTAGAGTATCTTGGCTGAAATTACTTCCACTATTTCTTCACCTTAAAAAGAAGATTTGAGGAAAATTTCAGCAAGTTCGTATGTCTCGGAGATGAGATACAGCTTTTTAAACAAAAAAAAATCTTTCTCCTGAGAGAAAATATTGTTTTTCAACTAAACTATTAGAGTATCTTGGCTGAAATTACACCCACTGTTTCTTCACCATAAAAAGAAGTTTTGAGGAAAACTTCAGCAAGTTCGTATGTCTAGGAGATGAGCTACAGCTTTTTAAACAAAAAAAAATCTTCTGAGATTTTTTTTTTTAAAACTAAACTTTTAGAGTATCTTAGCTGAAATTACACCCACTATTTCTTCACCCTAAAAAGAAGTTTTGAGGAAAATTTCAGCAATTTCGTATGTCTAGGAGATGAGATACAGCTTTTTAAACAAAAAAAAATATTCTCCTGAGAAAACATTTTTTTACAACTAAACTATTAGAGTATCTTGGCTGAAATTACTTCCACTATTTCTTCACCTTAAAAAGAAGATTTGAGGAAAATTTCAGCAAGTTCGTATGTCTCGGAGATGAGATACAGCTTTTTAAACAAAAAAAAATCTTTCTCCTGAGAGAAAATATTGTTTTACAACTAAACTATTAGAGTATCTTGGCTGAAATTACACCCACTATTTCTTCACCCTAAAAAGAAGTTTTGAGGAAAATTTCAGCAAGTTCGTATGTCTAGGAGATGAGATACAGCTTTTTAAACAAAAAAAATATTTATAATTTTTATTATTTTTAAAGCATGTAACTGCTTGATGTTTAAATCTAAAGAAAATATAACTAGAAAAAATTCCACGCGGACCAGGCAGCAGACGGGACTCGAACCCGCACCCTTCGCAATCCGGGCGAATGCACTGACCAATTATGCTACCGCGGCCCTCACGGACCGCGTCGAAATTCTTTCTAGCTATTCTTAAGCTGCAAGGCAGCGCCATCTCTTCGCATTATAGGTAAACCCACATATTCTTAAAAAAAATATTCTTCTGAGAAAATATTTTTTTTCAACTAAACTATTAGAGTATCTTGGCTGAAATTACACCCACTATTTCTTCACCCTAAAAAGAAGTTTTGAGGAAAATTTCAGCAAGTTCGTATGTCTCGGAGATGAGATACAGCTTTTTAAACAAAAAAAAATCTTTCTCCTGAGAGAAAATATTGTTTTACAACTAAACTATTAGAGTATCTTGGCTGAAATTACACTTACTATTTCTTCACCCTAAAAAGAAGTTCTCGGGAAAATTTCAGCAATTTCTTATGTCTAGGAGATGAGATACAGCTTTTTATATAAAAAAAAAATATTCTCCTGAGAAAATACTTGTTTTACAACTAAACTATTAGAGTATCATGGCTGAAATTACACCCACTATTTGTTCACCCTAAAAAGAAGTTCTGGGGAAAATTTCAGCAATTTCGTATGTCTAGGAGATGAGATACAGCTTTTTAAACAAAAAAAATATTCTCCTGAGAAAATATTTTTTTACAACTAAACTATTAGAGTATCTTGGCTGAAATAACTTCCACTGTTTCTTCACCCTAAAAAGAAGTTTTGATGAAAATTTCAGCAAGTTCGTATGTGTAGGAGATGAGATACAGCTTTTTTGAAAAATAAAAATCTTTCTACTGAGAGAAAATATTTTTTTAAAACTAAACTTTTAGAGTATCTTAGCTGAAATTACACCCACTATTTCTTCACCCTAAAAAGAAGTTTTGAGGAAAATTTCAGCATGTTCGTATGTGTAGGAGATGAGATACAGCTTTTAAAAAAAAAAATCTTTCTCCTGAGAGAAAATATTGTTTTACAACTAAACTATTAGAGTATCTTGGGTGAAATTACACCCACTATTTCTTCACCCTAAAAAAAAGTTTTGAGGAAAATTTCAGCATGTTCGTAAGTCTAGGCGATGAGATACAGCTTTTTAAACAAAAAAAAAATATTCTCTTGAGAAAATATTTTTTTACAACTAAACTATTAGAGTATCTTAGCTGAAATTACTTCCACTATTTCTTCACCTTAAAAAGAAGTTTTGAGGAAAATTTTGGCTTGTTCGTATGTCTAGGAGATGAGATACAGCTTTTTAAACAAAAAAAAAATATTCTCCTGAGAAAATATTTTTTTACAACTAAACTATTAGAGTATCTTGGCTGAAATAACTTCCACTGTTTCTTCACCCTAAAAAGAAGTTTTGAGGAAAATTTCAGTAATTTCGTATGTCTAGGAGATGAGATACAGCTTTTAAACAAAGAAAAATCTTCTGAGAAAATATTTTTTTAAAACTAAACTATTACAGTATCTTGGCTGAAATAACTTCCACTGTTTCTTCACCATAAAAAGAAGTTTTGAGGAAAATTTCAGCAAGTTCGTATGTGTAGGAGATGAGGTACAGCTTTTTTAAAAAATAAATCTTTCTCCTGAGAGAAAATATTTTTTTACAACTAAACTGTTAGAGTATCTTGGCTGAAATAACTTCCACTATTTCTTCACTTTTTTTTGGGATTTGTACAGAGATCATGTGTCCATTTCTGTGCTTATAATTTCTATAGCTAAAAATATGGAGTAGTAGTGTCAGCCTTTATAAATATTAAATCATTTTTATGAAGCTTACAAAAAGGCAGTGATTACTTTAATGTTAAAGTTTTAATTATTAATAAGCAATTATGGTCATAATTACAACTATTTATCTTATCTTGCCCATTCATGATTGATTTGACCTCATGGAGTATAAAGAATCATTCATGTTAAAAACTCATCAATATTTGATCTATGGATGTTTCTAGATGTTAAGTCATTATGGCGTCCTGAATACGGCGCCTATATGGTGGAGGGCACTCCAGGCAAGCCATATGGGGGGCTCCTGGCTCATTTTAACATTGTGGAGGCCAACATGCAGTATCGAAGAGCAGAGGCGAGCGCCTTCCTTAAAGACGGCGAAGTTATCATGAGCATTACCAATTTTCCCAGGTTCGTATTATGGGTATTTTGTCTATAAGGCCGCAGGTGAGCTGCTGCACAAAAACTGTATATTTATCATCTCTACTCTTGTGACAGATCAGTCAGACCAACATAACAGTGTCAGTATTGGCAGTGTCACAGGCCAGCATCGTAGGCACAAGGCGATAGATTGAAACTGCGTCTTTTTGATATAATTCACATCAAAAAAAACAGTGTGGGTGCCAACCACAACAACCTAATGAGCCTTTCGAAGCACGGAAGAGCTCGTATTAACAAATATTTGGTCACCCACACTACGACCGGCCATCACGAAAGTTGTTGTAACTTCCACGATAGCAGAGTATACGCCCTTTCTACTACGTCAATTAAATATTTCCAACACTCACACCAAATAGCCTAGCCACAAAGTAAGCATTGTAAGGCTTGTGTTATGGGATACTAGGGTAACGGATAGAATACATATACAGTATAAATATAAGTATATTTATATGGAAATACATATTAAACATTCATCACACAAACATCTGCCCCCACCGGGATTCGAACCCAGGACCTCTCGAGTAGGCGACACCCTAAAACCCGGCGTACAAACCACTCGGCCACGGAGGTCATCAAATTAGCTCTTATGATAACAATACAATTTATCAATAATAGAGTAGAGCATAGTTATTATTTCTTTCATCTTCTCGTTATCCATCCGCTTGGTATGACATGCTCGGCATGTCGCATTCTACCGTGTTATTGTATGGCTTGAGTGCCCGCTCTGATTGATACGGCGGGGCTAGGTTGAACGGTCGTGAGCACGTTTACTGACCTTGTTCAGCTTTTGTGAGGCTTGGTACATTTTGGTTGCGATCATGGGATCTGCGTCGTACTGAAACGCTCATCTTCCCGCTTTTAAATATATCTGCTGTTGCCTTCGCGACGCTCTTTGCTATGGACATTACTACGCGGTACAGATATTATATAAACGCCGCACTCCCAGCTCCGACAACGCTGGATCTAAGCGGGCCATACACTTGAGCCGTCCGTCGCCCGTACAAAAGAGGTGGCCATAAGTTTTCAAAAGAATTTTCTTCCTGCGGAATATATTTAACACCTGACTTATTTGTTTCAGTTTTATATGAAGCAGTATTAGGCACCAATCACTTTAATTAGTTTCTTTTGTGGCAATCAAATCGCATGGCTTTTGAAGCGAAACGAAGATAATAATATTGACAAATCGTTGCAACGGAACTTGCGGTTTGAATACAAACCCACTTTCTCACAATAACGAATGTTTTGTAAACTGTCGGTTATTTAATAAAACACTGTTTATGGGTATGAAGCGCGAAAATTTGAAAAATGATTTGTTACATTTATCTTGACGTTTGGAATACTTTTTTTCATATTTTTTTTAATTTTTCTTTGTTTAAATTTGTTTGTTAAAGGTTGGGTTGTCCAGAATTCACGAGCCCAGCGTATCATCCAACGCCACAGAGCGGTGTGACGAGGTCGCTATTCTTCCCGGACCAGGCTATATTTCCGGGGCATCCACGTTTTAAAACGCTCACCGATAATATACGTAAAAGGCGAGGAGAAAAAGTAGCTATAAACATTCCAGGTGAACTCTTTCGCTACCATTTCATGTGTTTTATAATTAATAGGCAGCTGGTATAATTACGAAAACAGCCTAATAGATATGGAAGGCTATCAAAAAAGTGTGACATGTACATCATATAGGTATTTCTATCACATCTGCTACATGCACAGTTCTACTCCACTTATTTGCTGGTTCAACAGTGTTTTTATCGTCATTCTATATCTACAATCCAACATGTCGTACATAGCCTTTATAACATTTACTTGTAATGTCTTTGGTTTTCAGAATAACTCCAAATTAACACAATTTTTCCCATTAATGTTAGTGATTGGATGGGGCTTATTTAACACATTTATTCATAAAATAACGATAGGTGAAAATGAATATATGGTTTCAACTTTAATAAAACTTAATAATTTATTGACGAATCTGTTTAAACGAGACTTCTAGCTTATTATAATTGAAGTCTTTGATTTCTGTCGCGCAGTATTCAGAGATACCAACACAAAGTTACCCGTGGATGATTCGCACGAGTTCGACTCGGCAGCTCAGCCGGGCTGCGTTTATATGGACGCCATGGGTTTCGGCATGGGTTGCTGTTGTCTGCAACTCACCTTCCAAGCCTGTTGCATTGTGGAAGCGCGCACATTATACGACCAGCTCGCGCCTTTATGTCCAATCATGGTGAGTATTGTATTGAAATTCATCATATTCAAAATATCCGTGGAGGATTCGCACGAGTCCGACTCGGCAGCTCAGCCGGGCTGCGTTTATACGTATATTAAGCTAGCAGACCATAGTCGCAACGCGCACATCTAACCTACTGGGTATTTAATTGCTAATTAGTTACACTATTCCCGATTTAGTTGCTCAATACCTGTAAAAGTTGCAAGCGATCTGCTAGATTAAGTCTTAACCTAGCAGACCACAATACTGTATCTTCGGCTCTCGTACAGATATCGAAGATCTGCAAACGGCATATTTAGTTGCTAATTAGTTGCTGTAGGACAGCATAATTAGTATTATCCCCCCATCATCCCCTATTTGCCGCACCAGCACCCACACTACACCCGAAATACGATAAAATTAAAAAGAGCTCATCAGAGAATATAAACTACGGCGTACTTTGTTGCTAATTAGTTGCTGCAAAATAGCGTTGTTTAAAAAAATTAATTATCAACCCTTAACTCCAGATCATCCCTGCAACCACCCCAGAATAGGACGATATCGGAAAATTCTCGTAGGTGGAAAATAGACGCGGCATATTTAGTTTGCTAATTAGTTGCTCGCCAAAAACGCAATTAAGAGTATTCTACAATCTCAGATCCAACCCCTCTACTCACTAGAAACAGTAGATGGTTGGAATTCGCACGCAGATTTTTAAAACTGATGGATGTTTAGTTGCTAATTAGTTGCTCGCCAAAAACGCAATTAAGAGTATTCTACAATCATCCCCTTACCTCAGATCCATCCCCTCTACTCACTTAAAAATAGTAGACGGTTCGAATTTGCACACAGATGTTTAGAACTGCTGGATATTTTGTTGCTAATTAGTTGCTGCAAAATAGTATAGAGTATTCTACAATCATCCCCTAACCTCAGATCCAACCCCTCTACTCACTAGAAACACTAGATGATTGGAATTCGCACGCAGATTTTTAAAACTGCTGGATGTTTAGTTGCTAATTAGTTGCTCGCCAAAAACGCAATTAAGAGTATTCTACAATCATCCCCTAATCTCAGATCCCCTCTACTCACTAGAAACAGTAGATGGTTGGAATTCGCACGCAGATTTTTGAAACTGCTGGATGTTTAGTTGCTCGCCAAAAACGCAATTAAGAGTATTCTACAATCATCCCCTAACCTCAGATCCATCCCCTCTACTCACTTAAAAATAGTAGACGGTTCGAATTTGCACGCAGATGTTTAAAACTGCTGGATATTTTGTTGCTAATTAGTTGCTGCAAAATAGCGTTGCTTATTGTATTTAATTATCAAACCTTAACTCCAGATCAGCACTGCAACCTCCCCAGAATAGTACGATATCGTATAATTCTCGTAGGTGGAAAAAGACGCGGGATATTTAGTTGCTAATTAGTTGCTCGCCAAAAACTCAATTAAAAGTATTCTACAATCATCCCCTTACGTCAGATCCAACCCCTCTACTCACTAGAAACAGTAGATGTTTGGAAAGCGCACGCAGATGTTCAAAACTGCTGGATGTTTTGTTGCTAATTAGTTGCTCGCCAAAAACGCATTTAAGAGTATTCTACAATCATCCCCTAACCTCAGATCCATCCCCTCTACTCACTTAAAAATAGTATACGATTCGAATTTGCACGCAGATATTTAAAACTGCTGGATATTTTGTTGCTAATTAGTTGCTGCAAAATAGCGTTGCTTATAGTATTTAATTATCAACCCTTAACTCCAGATCAGCACTGCAACCTTCCCAGATAGGACGATATCGTAAAATTCTCGTAGGTGGAAAAAAGACGTGGGATATTTAGTTGCTAATTAGTTGCTCGCCAAAAACGCAGATAAGAGTATCCTACAAGCATCCCCTAACTTCAGATCCACCCCCTCTACTCACTAAAAAATAGTAGATGGTTCGAATTCGCACGCAGATATTTAAAACTGCAAGATATTTTGTTACTAATTAGTTGCTTAATGACAACATTATTTGTATTATTCCCCCAGCATCACCTTATTGCCACAACAACCCCAGCACTACCCTCTAAATACGATAATGTGAAAAAGAGGTCATGAGAGAATATAAACTACGGCGTATTTTGTTGCTTATTAGTTGCTGCAAAATAGCGTTGCTTATAGTTTTTAATTATCAACCCTTAATTCCAGATTAGCACTGCAACCACCCCAGAATAGGACGATATTGGAAAATTCTTGTAGGTGGGAAAAAGACGCGGGATATTAAGTTGCTAATTTTTTTTTAAATGTAAACTTAGCGAGCCACTAATTAGCATTAAGATATTCTGCAGTTATATACATCTACGAGCATATTCTGACCGTTTTTTTATTATTATTGTAAAGAGAAAATGACTGGTCGATCTTGAGGTGAAGAGACGATTGTAGAAAAACATCCCACATTTTTTGTACCCATAATGATTTGTAGTTAAGGGTTGATAATTAAATATTATAAGCAACGCTATTTTTTAGCAACTAATTAGCAACAAAACATCCAGCAGTTTTAAAAATCTATGTGCGAATTCCAACCATCTACTGTTTCTAAGTGAGTAGAGGAGATGGATCTGAGGTTAGGGGATGATTGTAGAATACTACTAATTGCGTTTTTGGCGAGCAACTAATTAGCAACTAAACATCCAGCAGTTATAAATCTGCGTGCGCTTTCTAACCATCTACTGTTTCTAGTGTGTAGAGGGGTTGGATCTGAGGTTAGGGGATGATTGTAGAATACTCTTAATTGCGTTTTTGGCGAGCACCTAATTAGCAACTAAATATGCCGCGTCTATTTTCCATCTACTAGAATTTTTCGATATCGTCCTATTCTGGGGTGGTTGCAAGGATGATCTGGAGTTAAGGGTTGATAATTAATTTTTTTAAACAACGCTATTTTGCAGCAACTAATTAGCAACAAAGTACGCCGTAGTTTATATCTCTCTTTTTAATTTTATCGTATTTCGGGGGTCGTGTGGGTGCTGGTGCGGCAAATAGGGGATGATGGGGGGATAATACTAATTATGCTGTCCTACAGCAACTAATTAGCAACTTAATATGCCGTTTGCAGATCTTCGATATCTGTACGAGAACCGAAGATACAGTATTGTGGTCTGCTAGGTTAAGACTTAATCTAGCAGATCGCTTGCAACTCTTACAGGTATTGAGCAACTAAATCGGGAATAGTGTAACTAATTAGCAACTAAATACCCAGTAGGTTAGATGTGCGCGTTGCGACCATGGTCTGCTAGCTCAATATACGTGATGCTATGGGATGCTGTTGCCCGTTGCTGACCTTCCAAGCCAGTTGTATTGTGGAGGCGCGCACGCTGTAAGACCAGCTCGCGCCTTTATGCCCAATTATGGTGATTATTTTACTATGTATATGTGTTAAGAGAGATAGGGCACAGCAGAATTTACATTATTATTTTCCTTAAAAGTTCATGAAAAGCATTATATTATCATAAAAAAATTCAGGTTTTGGGGGTGCCCTACACGAACAAAAATTAGCACTTTAAAGTTCAATATTTCGCAAACGGATCCCTAAATTGAAATATAATCTTAAGAACCCCTAAGTAATTTTAAAGGACCTATTCAACGATACTCCACATCGTGGGGTATATGATGAAAAATAAAATCAAGGTCACATGTAGGGAAGTTACCCTAAAAAAATACTTTTCCAAATTTTATCCTACCATTTTGTCGGCATGATTGATATACATATCTCCACAAAATTACAGCTCTCTAGTGCTAAAAGTTTCCAAACAAAACCGGGGACGGACAGACAAACGGACATGACGAAACTATAAGGGTTCCTTGTCAGGACTACGGAACCCTAAAAATATTGTTGCTCAACTAACTTACCAAATGAATTCGATCATTTTAGCCGAATTCGTAAGTGAGCAACATCATCAGCAACCCATTAATGTCCCCACTGTTGTGGCACAGGCCTTTTTTTTGATGGATTAAGGAAATTGGGCCATAACCCACCACGCAGGCCAAGCTCGAACTGGTGGGTGCTAACGACTGCAGATGCAGCCGAGATCAAAGGATTAATGTACCTTTCGAAGCACGGAGTAGCTCAAGATAGTAAATTTTTCATCACCCATACAATGGCCGACCACTGCGAAAGTTGCTAAACTTCAACAATCGCAGCCGAACGCGCTAACCACTTGCGCCATCGCGGTCCTCAGTAAACAAACATCCATCATATATGTATTCATATTAGTATTTTTATCAGTAGAACAACACCTGTATGACTGTTAACTGGACACCTGTCGCCGTATACGAACATAACTTACCTATTGTATCATCATTACAGACACTTGTTTACAATACATTGATTAGTAAGATAGATTGATACGGAAAAGAGAATCATGGAAAGATAAACATTTCTGTATTTTCCTTCCTATTAACAATGAAATGAAAAAATCGAGAAAATTGACTCCTTACATAGGAGTTAATTTCACGAAGTAGAAATAAACGTATAAACCTACCAGTTCTATTTCTTATTAAAAATGTCTGTAAAAAAATAAATATTCTTTTGGCGTGGAGACTTAGATAATTTACACCGGCCGGTATGTCTCTTTTAAATTTAATAAAGTCACCTCCAATCAATATCAAATTTAGGTACATTAAAACAAGGTCGTCAGAGTGCCTCGACGTCGATCAATGTTTAATAACGTTCGACTATGTATCGAATTCAATGTCACAGTTTTTCTGACTACGTAAATGGAATAATTAAAGTAGAATACAACAAACTTGAGCCTGAGGTCTTTATTATCCGAATTAATTAGTCATATGACTATGTATATTTTCTTCTATTACATTGTAAAGTGTCCCACAAACTTGCATGTGAAGTTACGTGAGAAACTTAAAGATCGTGTAAATAATAATAGTAAAACTTATAAACAACAACCGCATACTAAATATTGATTTATATTGTTTACAAACTAGCCTAAAACGGCGCGAATTTTAGTTCTCTTTTCTTTTCTCGATTGAATTGTGATCTGAGGCTCAACCATTCAGCGCTCACAGAGGTCACAGAAGTACCCATAACTTCCGTGAAGGCATCTAATTATTTTGTTTTATTTTCATTTGAAGTTGCTTCCTAAATTACGGATCTTTAACTATCAACATGATATTAATCAGTCAGCCAGTGTTGTCTCTGGATGCCACAATGCACACCATCACGATAGTCACATCAAAACATCTCTTCCTACACCAAAATCAAACTTAAATGAACGATTTCCCACGCCCGCAGACGAACGCAGGGGATGTTTTCGACAAACTCCGGCAAACACGTTCAAGTGAATTTGCTCGACAAAGCATTTAGTCCACACTCTTTATTTATATTTTCGAACAATATTCTGTTCAAAACATGGTGCAGCGGACACGCCTTTATTGTTGTTTAAAAGCCTATAAATACAACATTTACATTATGTCACTGAATTCTTGTTAGCTCTATTTTGTGATTTCTATCGTACAGTGTTCATCTCCTTCATTCGTTTGAGCAGGATGTATTCTCCTCAGTTAGCGCTGTCAGCAGCGTCTCCAGTGTACCGCGGGTTCCTTACCGATGTGGACTGCCGCTGGAACGTGATCTCCGCGTCGGTGGACTGCCGCACTCGCGAGGAGCGCGGCCTGGACCCCCTCAAACATAACAAGTTCCGCATACAGAAGTCCCGATATGATTCAATCGACTCGTACCTCTCGCCGGAACACGAGAAGTGAGTACGGGTCATGTGTTTTTAGTTGAGCATATGCGTAATTATACCGTTTTATTTGCCAGCTCCTCAGTTGTAATCATTATTTTAGTGTACTTAGGATTCCTCACCCTGATCTACGTGTTTGAGCACTGCTGCACCAATGAGCTTTTCATACCTTTCCTTTTATATTTGAGAAAAAAATAATTGAGTCAGAGTCACGTTTACATTCTTCTTTGAAGGGACTTACTGAAACAGTTAAAGCTATTAGCCAATGTCCTTCCACGAGACCCCCAACGCAACAAGTCTGTTGGCGAAACGTAGAAATGGGTTCCTGCCTATTGTGCGTTTCGAGTATATAATTGATAAACTATTATCGCCAAATCCAACGGTTTTTTACTCACTGACAACAATACCACGCAATACTCTTAACTATCTCACTAAAAAAGTATATTATTATTTAATATTTTTATCAAAGTGGCCTTTCATAATTAATAGAATTGTTTTTAATTGAATGATGTAACAACGATTTATTACGCCACATTACCCAAGCGTGACGCTGACGATGCTAAGTCATGGATGTGACTAATGGAATGATATGACATTTTAATTTTTCAACATTCAGAAAAGTACCTACTAAGTATTTTCCCTTAAATACCTAGTAGACACATCCCGTAGTACAATTTTCGCTCTGTCATTTATCGTTATTATCTAGATTCCAAATGCGATTAAATGTAACCAAACAGTATCCGACTGATAGTATAATGAAACATCACGTGTTCAATTTACTCATTTGTTTACAGACTTATATAGTCACTTTAAAATTGAATCTAAATTTATTTGCATAATAAACAACAAGCATTTTAGTGTTTACAAAAAAACAATGTGTTTAGGTCAGTAACAGAAGTTCATTAACTCCTTAATCGACCTTAGTAGATCATATTTTTAAGGTTCCAGAACCCTAGTAATAAGCTCCCGCGTCCTGTTGAACTTTCCACAGGATCTGTATTATATTTTACTAAAAAATTAAATTCTGATATTCCGGGTTCGCAAAACTAATCGAATGAATATTTACTAAAAGTTTAATTTTGATTTCTCTTTCTAGTATGTGTGTGTGCAAGGTGTAAGAGAAATGTTGGTGTGGTTATAAGAAAACATAAATGAATATAAATTTATTTGTTTACTTTAAGGACATCTTACACAATATTTTTATGTTATAGATACAGGGAAATTGTCATTTGGGTCAATTTGGGTTTCTCCGGAATCCGGTTTTTTTCGACAAAAAAGTGCTTTCCATAATAGCCAACATCTCTACTTTAGGTAAATATGCATTCGATTAACCGGTTTGTAGTTATATGTCATACATAATATACCATAAAATATCAAAACTATTTAAGTTTTGATTTGCAAACTAAGACTTCAATCTTCTTCAAATTCTGACACAGTCTAGGCTGTTGTCAGAATTTATGAATATACTAAAGTCAAGCCATCAGCTTATAAATATACGCCGTAAGTTTTTGCGCGCAGTAGAATCAGAATATATGCGATGAACTGTACAATAACAAACTATTGTTACATAATTTAAGTGTAACAGCTCGCGTATTTTAACTCGTAAATCAAAGATAATGATCATATACCCGACAGGAGGACATGAACTTATCGCAATAAATCAGACACGCCAACCGAATTGGTTGAACAAGCGTGGGTTCACCGCATATGCATTTTCTTGAAGTCGATAAATTTTAATGGTTTTACAAAAGATATATTTTATGCTATAAAGTTTTATTGTCATGGTCATCCATTCAAGTCCCTTAAGCTCTCCGTTAACCTCGCAATGATGAAGTTTTAAACTTAAAAAGAGGCACCAATGAATTCGGCGTGTTAATGTGTTACTTCACCTTTATTTGTGATAATTCTAATAGCGTATAAAAACGTTATTGTAACGAAAAAATCCCAGCTATGAAACGCAGGGATCACTATTGGAATGATGATAGTATAGATCTGTAGTATATCTTAATTCTGTAGTATTGAAAGTATTATAATTTAATTTCAACCATATACAAATATTACAAGGATGATTAACCAGTCTGTTTTCATTCCTCTTGCTTGATCGATGTTTTTTTTTGTTACGTTTTGCACATTTTTTTTTCACTCATTTTTAGTTAATCAATAAAAAGCGAGAATTAAAAAGGTTCATTCATAGTTTGATATAAATAAAATGTTATCACTGTATAGCTTTGGTCTTACTTCAATGAGGTCGTACAACATCCTTGCATTATCATCATAAAAATATGTTAATCAAATCAAATCAAAAATATATTTATTTTCCATCACAACAGAGATTCATAGTAAGTCTTGTATAGCTATTACAGTATTGTGGCTCCTCTATTTGTGATGAACTGGTGCCTGAAATAGGTTTCAGCAATAGAAACCTGTGCTACAGGTCACCAGGCCCAATCACAGATAGCAAGACTTCCACGGATGGTACAATATCTTGGACAGTTGAAATGTGTATATACATTGTTGTTTCAACAGCATTGAATAAAAGAAAACAAATAAATAATAACAAAAATCAAAGAAAGCTATTCTATCTAATAGGAAGCTAGAAAATTATCCAGTTTCCAAAATTAAAAATAATAACCAAAAACGGCGTGTATGTGTGTGATAGTAAGTGTTTGTGTGATTTCGTTCTTTTTGTGTATGTAATATGTATGCAGTGTAGTGTATGTGTGTGTATGTTTGTGTATGTGCAGTCGTGTGTAAATGATTAGTTTCAACAGTAGCAGAGGCGAAATTAAAATCTCTTGTGAAAACTACGAATATCATCATTATCAGGTTTACCTTAGAGGGCATAATAGGTTTTCAGTATAATCATAGTCAAGTGTCAATAGATAATCGCGGACGATAGTTTTACAGTGGGTTTTATGACGAGAATAAATATGGAGGATATGATTTATGCGGTTGTAGAGGAATGGGCCTAGAAACTGGAAGAAGTTTTGTGCAAAGGAGGTTTTCTGAGTAGGCAAAGGGCAGACTTGAGTTTTGCGTCTCCTTTGTTCAAAGGACAATGGGCAAAATTGCATGGACACTGCACCCACGTCCGCCACGGCTTAAACTACATTTGTTTGAAAGGTATCATAGTCATGATCATTTGTGCCAAAGCGCATCAAATTCCATCCCGGGAGTCTTTAGTTATTTTAAGTTAAATAGGTACAATTCCATAGGTAAAAGTAACTATAACGAACATAATATTTAAAGATACAAGGACGAGTATATAGAACGGATATATTAATTGACGACCACGGAGGTCGTCAATTAATATATCCGAGTCGAGTGGTTTGTACGCCGGGTTTCATGGTGTCGCTGGCTCGAGAGGTCCCGGGTTCGAATCCTGGTGGGGGCAGATGTTTGTGTGCTGAGTACGAGCATTTAAATTGATCCATAGATTTTTTATTAGCTCGTACGATTATAATGACATACGCGATGATAATCGTATTCCTATTTCTAAAACGTGTTAGTTAAATATCAATGAAATAACAGGGAGCGCACAAAATGTAAGACATAGGACTGCATACGAGTAGACTAGTTGCAACGGCAACTGCAATATCACATCCTTCAACCTCCATACCCTGTTAGACGTTTTGAGGAGTCTCAGTAAGTGCAAGCAGCAAGCAAGCAGGATAGTCGGTAGGCTTTGTTGTTTAGTATTTTGTATCTGGTTGTACAGTAAGATATGATTCACTCACTTATTATTGCTAATATTATAAGACGAAAGTACTATTGATATTGAATGAATTTCTTTAGCTATTTAAATATCATCATCATCAGCCTATTAATGTCCCCACTGCTGGGGCACAGGCCTTCCCTATGGATGAAATAGGGAGATTGGGCCATGACCCACCACGCGGGCCCAGTGCGGATTGGCGGGTGCTAACGACTGCAGATACAGCCGGGACCAACGGCTTAACGTGCCTTCCGAAGCACGGAGGAACTCGAAATAGATGTTTTTGGTCACCCATCCAATGACCGACCACTGCGGAAGTTGCTTAACTTCAACGATCGCAACCGAACGCGCTAACCACCTGCGCCATCGAGCTTCTCTATAAGGAGCTATTTAAATATGCCCGTGTGTAACCGGTCCCCATGACTTACACACAAAGGTCGTCTATAAGGACTATGTGCGGAAACCTTAACCCCTAATATAGAACATACCCAGGTGTATATCTTTTGACCCCCAGGTTATTTTTTTTTGGTGCCATAATAAAAAAGGCTAGTTTTTCATAGATCTATCGATTCATACTAATTACATTGTTGGCGGAGCTGGGTGCGTTTTGCCCATTGTCCTTTGGGGTCATAAGTTAACTGGTTATGTTTTTAAAGTACGGTTTTCAGAACGAATATCTGTCGTACAGAGAGAATGTTCCAGACTTTGTATAACTCTACAGTAGGATAGCGATATGGGAGTCCTGCAGCCACTCTAAGCAATATGCGCTGAGATCTCTCCACCGTTAGTAAATGTGTTTTCGCGGCCCCACCCCAAGAGGTGATGCAGTATTCCAATAGAGAGTGGCACAACGCATAATAGACGGTTTTAATGATTTTCCGCTCTGCAACACCTCTCAGATTTCTAAAAATATAAGTCATTGCGTGACTACGCAAGATGACTTATATTTTTGATGATATTTACTTATATTTTAAGACTTTAATGCTAGAAGATCGAGATGGTACTAGAAGGTGAGGGTCTGGTCTAGCAAAACTCCTAGATATTTTATGCAGTCGGTACGCTCCAAGGAGGGACAAGGGCAAGAAATCATAGAAGACTGGGTGTTACACTCATGGACAGTAATGTTAAGTTCTGTTGATGGAAGTTGGTTAGATTTTAAGGCAAAAGTGACATACTTAGTCTTGGAGACATTAAGTGTGAGGCCATTACATTTCAGCCACTTTGTTACTAGATTTAGGCCTTTCTGTGCTAATTCAAATGACCTGTCCCAAGAGTTCCCTTCAAAGAAAAGAGCAGTGTC